CACCAGACATACTAGAATCAAAGCCATAGATGACATCCGAAGCAAAATCGAATGGAAATGATGGCATGAGGAAAATACATATGATTTATGAAAACTAATACTAGGTACTCCCTCCATTTCACAATGTAGTGCTTCCTCTATCCACGTGCTTTAACTTTGATCATAAATTTAACTACCAAGATCGATTGCGGCGGGAGCAAAAATTATATCAGTGAATTCGTATTTGAAAGAAGTTTTCAATTATATAATTTTTTCTCCCGCCGCAGTTGGTCTCGTTGGTTAAATTTATGGTCAAAATTGGACCTGGGGAAGCGCGGGTGTCGGTGTCAAAACCGGCGGATCTCGGGTAGGGGGTCCCGAACTGTGCGTCTAGGCCGGATGGTAACACGAGACAAGGGACACAATGTTTTACCCAGGTTCGGGCCCTCTTGATGGAGGTAAAACCCTACGTCCTGCTTGATTAATATTGATGATATGGGTAGTACAAGAGTAGATCTACCACGAGATCAAGGAGGCTAAACCCTAAAAGCTAGCCTATGGTATGATTGTTGTATGATAAAGTTGTCCTACGGACTAAAACCCTCCGATTTATATAGACACCGGAGAGGGTTAGGGTTACACAAAGTCGGTTACAATGGTATGAGATCTTGAATATCCGCATCGCCAAGCTTGCCTTCCACACCAAGGAAAGTCCCATCCGGACACGGGACGGAGTCTTCAATCTTGTATCTTCATAGTCTGGAGTTCGGCTGAAGGTATAGTCCGGCTACCCGAACACCCCCTAATCCAGGACTCCCTCAGTAGCCCCTGAACCAGGCTTCAATGACGACGAGTCCGGCGCGCAGATTGTCTTCGGCATTGCAAGGCGGGTTCCTCCTACAAATTCTTCATAAAAGTTTGTAAACACCAAGAGTAGTGTCCGGCTCTGCAAAATAAGCTTCCACGTATTGCCATAGAGAGAATAATATTAACACAAATCTAATATGCTGACGTATTCCGTAGTGTGACATCGCACTACGGCCAAGCCTTCATTCGAATCGTTTTCACTTATCCACCTCAGCGTGTTTTGCGAGGCGGTTTCCTTGGCACGTCTTGTCAAAGCAGAGATCGTGTCCCCTTTATTTACGGGATTCTCATCAATACGGACGTGGGTAACCCAATCGTGCCCGTTAGCATGTTTTCTCGATTAAAGGCGAGTCCCAAACAGTTACGAGGAGGGCTCCTGGTATTCAACCTCTTATAAAGAGACCAAGGCCTTACTCCCTTTCTCCAATCTCAAAACAAGTTCGCCTGTAGCCTCGAGTTCCAACACCCTAGGCTCCAGATTCTAGGCGATTCGGACCTTCGACAATGTCCAGTTTCGACCTTCAAGGCCGATGGATGCCCTCCTCCGTCACGGAGGAGGACGCGCTAAGGTTGAGAGAGGCTAAGTTTTTGACCGCCGAAATTTCGCATAGGTTGCCTGCTCAAAGGCAGACTATTCCTAGTCCCCGGCTTGGTGAGAGCATAGTGTTCATGTCTCACTTCCTTCGGGGTTTAGGCTTCCCGATGGATCCCTTCGTGAGGGGGCTGATGTTCTATTATGGGCTGGAATTTCATGACCTAGCTCCGGAGTCCATCCTCCACATTTCCTCATTCATCATTGTGTGCGAAGCGTTCCTCCGTGTTACTCCTCACTTCGAATTATGGCTCAAGACTTTTGGATTGGAGCCGAAGATGATCGAGGGACGGCACACAGAGTGCGGAGGTGCTGTCATAAGTAAGAATGCCGATGCTCCATGGCCCGAGGGCTCCTTTCAAGAGGAGCTCGGCTTGTGGCAACGAGAGTGGTTCTATATCACCGCTCCCAGGAGCACCAAGTGGGTGGCGCCTCCTGCCTTTCGCTCGGGTCCCCCACCACGGCTAGCGTCATGGGTCAACAAAGGATTAGATTGGGGGTTATCTAAAGACGTGCCCCTGTTGCAGGGCCGCATTAGGGATCTCTTAGAAAGAGACCTCAACCTGGTCAAGGTGACGCAAGTCATGCTGATTCGCCGAACATTGCCCGACAAACGTCGCTCCCTTCGTCTGTGGGAGTTTAATCCGGAGGGACCACGAGCTCTCCAGCATTTTATGGGCGCAACGCCCGCGGAGATGTATAAAATGTTCTTCGGATCACAAGCAATGTGTCCGGATTTGACCGAGGACGCAGGTTTAAGCTGCAATCGCTCGGATACTCAAGTAAGTAACCTTGTGCCCGGACTCGCTATCCGTAAAATTGTCATAAACTCGCCCCTAAAAGAGTTGTCCTTTTAAACAGGAGTGGGTAGCGAAGGCGAAGCTGATCAGGTGTCTGGCTCCCCTTCCTGAGACCAGGCCGGATCCCGTGCTAGTCAGGATGTTGAAGATCGTGCCTTTGGAGGGAAGTGAGGGGGAGGACAAGGAAACTATGGCCTCCTCGAAGGAGGCTGCTCCGAAGGGAGGAACCAACAATTCCTCTCCTAAGGGGAAGAAGAGGGCCGCCTCTGACGGCCCGGAGACCATGGCCTCAAAGTGGGGGAAGAAGTCCTCGTCAGAGGGTCCGGCGCCGGGGAGATCCTCGGCCGAACTACGCCCCCAAAGGGATCAGCCCTCCAGCGAGTCGTAAGTAGAGAAAGACTTTCCTTTAGAGGGATGAGAGAAATCCTTACTTTTTATCTGAGAAGATTAACCGAAAATTTACCTTGTAGCTCGGACCTCAGCCCTTCTTAGCAGAGCTCGTCTTCGGGGGATCTTCTTCCGGAGATGATGGAGAGTGGAACGCCTCCCCCTGCCGTACCGCCTAGCGAGGCGGGCGACCCTGAGGTGTCGTCACGGAGGGTTTCTCCGAATCCGGCAGGGGTGGAAGGTAGCCATATGGCCCCCCAAGGTTCTCCACGTCCTGCCTTCGGTGGAGGTCATAGGACGAGTCCGACACCGTCTGGTGCGCGGTCAGAGGAGCTGATGATTCTGCTAGGGCGAGCTTCTATCTCAGAGGAGCATTGTGCATTGATGGGTACGGTGATTGGAAGGATTTCGTCCGCGGAAAGCGGATTGCACAAGGCTGTCAGAAGTTTGCTGATGGGTTTTGAGGTACGTTTGATAATGTACTTCTTTGTCAGTTGCGCATAAACAAGATGCGCCCTGTGTAGATAGTAGCCCCTGAGACTCTGTGCGTTGTCAAAATAGACGGCGCACAGAGGATCATAATCCCAGGTCTAATTTTTGCCTTTGTATATAGGTGGCGAAGTGTCCGGAATCGAGCAGAACTGATGATTTTGCCGAACTAAAGCGGCAACTTGACGTGGCAGATGCCGACATCGCGCTCATCAACAAGCGACTTGATGATGCTCAAGGTATGCAATTCCTCGGGCGGTATCTGGTAAGAGGAGCTTTTATGCCAGTATCTTACAATGTGTGTGCTTGACGCAGATGGTGCGGCCGCCATGGAGAGTCTCCGGGCGGAACTTGCTCGAGCTAAGGAACAAGCCAGGACAAGTGATGCGGCTGCCGAGAAGGCACTTGAAGAGCTGAGAGCCGAACAGGCTGCTCACTACCGAAGCAAGAAGGAGATGACCGAGATGGCCATGAAGTTAAAAAGCGCTACTGACCGTTGCAAGTCTCTTGGGAAAGAAGACCGGGCGAGACAAACAGACTTAGAGAAGGCCGTTGTTGATGCC